CACCTTCATCATCAATATGTCGTCAACCAGAAAAAGTATGTTTCTGGCAGGAAAAGTCGAACAAAATTACAAACTTCTCTCAGCTGTTGTTCTCATTTATATAATAATAATAATAATAATAATTTTTTGTTGCCGTCCTTCATATATATATATAGTTGATGCTCACCTTATTAATATTATTATGAATATCAGTAATAATCTATCCTTTTACCGATAGTTTACAGGCTTAATGGTTTTTGCTTGTTCTCTCTCTCTCTTTGTCCGTCCGGGTCTTTCCGGGTTTGCCATCGTCTGTTGTGGCAGGGCTGTTTCTCCGCACAGCTGCCCAATTTTCTTTTCTTCGGTGGGTGGTTATTATTTCACTTTTTCTTTTCCGCTTTGTTGGTTTTTTTTTCTTACAAGATAGTACTTTTCCATCTCGTCGGAGCTTAAGCACCCTCCCGCCCGCCCGCCCGCCCGCCCGCCGGCGTTCTCATTTAAATATGTACCGATACATAGTCAACCTCCGCATTCGGTAATTATAGACATAGCATTAGCAGTCATAATAATTATATTATACTCATTTTATCACTTGTAATTATAGTTGTAATAATAATAATAAAGTAACAATAATTGTTTCTGCCTCGTTCTGTGTCCTTATCTAAAACACCATTGTTACACATGGTTGTGCAGCTTTTTCATCAACATGTTCAGTCACACTCAGGCCAAAACATCAGTGGAGGTGGAAAAAGCCAGCTATTTCCCGTCTTTCTTTTTTTGGTACGTCCACGTTATTCTGTTTGCTGTTTTATTACTGTAATTTAGTATCTGTATTGCTCACAGATGATAGCTTCGCCAATGACGGCGTCCCAGTTGACTTGAAGGTATTCACAGCAGCAGTAGTAATAATGATGAATATCACTTGTTGCATCGTTATAACTATCATCGTCAGTCGCTGCTGGCGTATGAGTACCCGCCAGACAGACCCCCCCCCCCCCAGCTGAGCAAGCCAACAAATGTCCCAAACAAACGATTTTCCACGCTTCCAGCCAGCCAGCCAGCCAGCCAGCCAGCCAGCCCTCACAATAGTTTCTGCCCGTATTGGCTGTATGCGATACATTTCCTTTTTATGGGGTTATTCTCAACTGAATATCCGTTATTATTAACGAAAACCAGTTGTAGGTTTGTGTTGTTCTAAGGGTAGTTATAGTGCAATACTATTGTAAAATAATCCTCATTAATTTGATTCGTACCATCATCAATCCCCGGCCTTGGCAGTTCTACATACACGTATGCTGTATCATCAAAATCGAAGCAGTGTTATCATCCTCTTAAGAACTTCAAACGGTACCTGCATTTTTGTATCATCAGACATCGTCAACAAACTATATAATTTCAATGAACGTTAAAACAACGCTACCCAATGTTATGACTAAAGTAGCTCACTGTTGCCCTCATCTCATATCATGTCGAAGTTTTTTTGTCGGGTACTTACTCTCCTAAACGAGCCGTCAGTTACGGTATTGTGTTAAGGATCGGGGCTGTATCTAAGGCGGAAGGGCAGGCCGCGGAAAAAGTGGCAAGGAAAAAGGTCTCATTAAAGGTTAACCTAGTGGCGCGAAGCGGCTCCTCTTCCCTTTTTCTTTTTGCTACCTTCAAAACAGGTATCTCCAATTCTATAAAATCGACGCGTCTTTGCTTTGCTACCATTAGTCATAAATTTTCACTCGAGAGCTGATTCACCTAACATCTAGCCCATGATCAACACAAATAGCATAATTAATACAATATTACAGAATAGGATATCGTGAGTTATTCTATAAATATATGTCACGGTCGACAATATTTCAATAAGATTACTATTATTTCTTGTTTGTCATCGTATTTTTTGATGTCGTGTTTGTCATCATTTTTTTTTCTTAGTTTTGCCTTACTAACAATGCGTCATGCCTTTTTCACGTCGTAATTTTTATAGCTACTTCTCAATGCTATCATCATTAGTTTTCATTGTCGATGTATATACTCGTTCTGTATATATACATGTATAAATGGTTTACAGCAAAGCTCAAGTTAAAATCAGGCTGTCTCAATTAAAACAGACCGAACTATCGAAAGCTGGAGAAAAACAGATGCTTTCACCTAGACGCAATGACAACAAAACAATGTGGGATTTATAGACACAATGTCCTTTCCGACCGGTTAATTACTCAGCGAACCGGCATATAAACTGTTGGATTCGGTTTGTCTGCCGTCTAACAATTTAACAAAAAGAACTACAAAACAAGATAGTTTCATGCGTTCTGGCCTCTCAAAAAAAAAGTATATATATATATATATATATATTTAGGATTGATATTGATGCCTTCTTTGCTCAAAGAAAGCCCAACGTCACCTTTTCTTTTCAATTTCACTGTTTGGTGGCAACAAAGGCAACAAATATGAATACAACTGAGAACAACACAAGAGCGTCGAGATCGACAACAATAACAATCGTAATTAATACAGAGTATAGTGGCATCACAGGCAATGCCAGCTGCCCATAGAGACAGTGATACTGTGACAGATTCCGCAGAGAACAAATTTCGAAGCAAATGCAATTGGCTGATAATTGTGGGGGGGGGGGGGGAAAAAACGGTCAGCATGAAAAAACATCAACAGATGCAAAAGGAATACAACATCGAAGCAGATACTCCCAAAGCACGACAGGCGAACGCACTTCGCGAATATTGCGAAGGTATTCGATCATTACACGATAGTGATAAAGGCGGGCTCGTCACGACATAACGGTGGGCCCTTCGTAGAGGATACGTGCGAAGTTGACGAAGGAAGGCTTTTCTCTAATAAAAAGAAACGAAGCCTTGACCTTGATTAAAAACAAGCTGTAAGACAATAAGAATGGCGCTAGTGAAAACCGGGCGTTACCGGAGAACGTGCACCGTTCCCTGGTGGCAAGGATGACTACGAGCGGACCAGAACGTAGAATTAATACTGAACGGTGTGTGTATAATGAGACGGAAAGCTATGGCAGGCAGAAAGTGAGAATGACTAATAAACTATAGGATGACTAACAAACGATATAGTTTGACGACGAGTCGAAAGTATCTGTTTGTGTGTAATTGAAGGCAGTGTTAAGCTCGAGGTAGAGTAAAGTGAAAGAGGTGAAGTCAGACGACGTGAATCTCAAGGCATTTGAAGTGTACTGCTGTGATATCTACCCGAACCATGGTAAGGCTGAGGAGATAGTTCGTCAGTGAATGATAGAGAGAAAAGGAAAGAGGGGCAAGAGTGTGCGTGTGATACAGATTGAGGGATGTTTATTTCCCGTATATACTTTAGCAAGCGACCATTATCTACGTGTCCCGTTTACGTCGCATATCATCCATTCTGTGACTTTTTGTGATGATGGTCAGATAGTAAAATTGTTGCTATCCAGTGACAGCATCGGGCTAAGCTTACCGGTACGGTGCGTGTTCATTTTGGATGTTGTTGGCTCCCTGCGTGAAGTGAGATTAACGATCGCATACTCAAAATGTTTGCGTTTTGTCTACGCATCGATATCCGTACCCGTACTATATAAAGACATGAGATTTCTATCGAATGTTGATTGTAACGGTGAGCGTTCTATGAGCTCAAGAGAAAGAGAGACGTTTGTTGACACTGGGATAAGCTAGCATCTTGTGAATGGTCGTATGCACCTCGAATATTCCTTAGTAGCGACCGTATTAAATCTGGTACTCGACAAATCAGTATATCTAATGGATTTACAATAGTATCCATTAGATCAGATAACTATAACCATTTTGTTGGTTGGTTAAAGGGATCTGCCTAGAGTAGTCCGAGCCAATTGAAGCGGCCAAGACCAGCATATACTTGTTCTGTGGGAGTGTCGCTTGCCGACAATGAAATCGCTGACATTTGGTCTTACATCAAATAGCATCATTGGAATTTTGAATAGTGAACTCTAGAAGAAACTACTCAATGATAGTGAGCGACAATGGAAACCAACCTGCAATGGCCCGGCAATGTATGCCCGATACGAATGATGACGCGTCGTTCAGCGTTGCTAGGTGAAAGAGGTACGACTTGCGGGAAAATAATTATGACTCGAACATAAACACACGCAGAGTACTTACGGAAAGCATTCACAGTCTACATAAACTCATTGCCGGTTACTATATATTATAGAGGCAATGATATTGAACGGGTTTCAATTCCAGAACGAAGAACAAAGACAACTACAAAGCCTAAAAAGACTTGCTAGAACTAATAACCGTTACCCACACACACACACACACACACACACACACACACACACACACACACACACACACACACACACACACACACACACACACACACACACACACACACACACACACACACACACACACACACACACACACACACACACACACACACACACACACACACACACACACACACACACACACACACACACACACACACACACACACACACACACACACACACACACACACA